CAGAGGTGGAAATTTCAGGTCCAGAAAGCAAAAATCCAAACCAAAATTTTGTGTAAACCAGTTGAGTTGTCTGTGACTGCTTATACTCATTTGGTTGGCTGACATGAAATCTTGGTCTGGATTTTTACTTTCTGGACCTGAAATTTACACCTGTGTCCCAGTGCCATCCGCAGCAGTAAATGATGGGCCGGGAGAAACCAGCCAAGACGAAACGCGTCCCACGCAGCCCGCCCATGATTTTCGGAGACTCATATCGCCACAACCTGCACTTAGGCAGGCCGACCACATTTACGGCAGAGGGCCACCGGGGCAAGACCAACCACACATCCAGGACATCCCCCCTGAAGCCCAATTTCCATTCTGCTCCTCCCTACCCAACTTGACAAGCTGAGCACCAGGATCTGGTCAACGACAGGTTAACAGCGAAAGGGAACGCCAACCCCTTGCTGCAAGGGGATTGGCTGCTGACAGGCTGGTTCAGGAGCTCCATTCCGCTTCAGAGCCCACCCTTGCAAGGGGCACCGGCAAAGTACCAGGAAATGTGCAGGATACACAGACCGGGATTAAGTTACTCTGGAGAAAAGGACACACAGGTGGTATTATTTCATTTGGAAGCCTCGTTAGGCAGCCATCCTGCAGTGGAAACTCCTGATAACAGCAGCACATTCTCCCTGGATCCTGATACTCACATCAGGATCCCAACACGCAGCAATGTAAACACCACCCTGAAAGACAATACTGCCCTAGGTCTGTCCCTTTTCATGATCTGCTCCCATGCACCGGCCTGAACGAGCCACAGAAATCATTTCCGGCCAAATTTCAAGAGGACATCCAAGGTGGTCCATCTAAAACAGAGATTTTGAGAAAAAAAAGAAAGAAAGAAAAAAAAACCTTAAATCACCAGCCCAAATAAGCAGCAATATTCACATCTCACTGCTCAGTTATAAGAGTAACCGTTTTAAGGAGGTGACACCAGAAAAACGAGTGATGACTAATGAATACAATCTGAATAATTATAGTCGCCGTCTAAAAACAGCAAGCTGGTTCATCCGCATTGTGCCTGTGCGAGCCTGGGAAAATGTCACCTGTCATTCAGCAATTGCGATCAGCCACCAGAAATGTCACCGGCTGCGACATGTCTTAAGGGAGAATCGGGGACAATAACGTGATCAAACGTGAATCATCGATGGTGCCAGTAGTTCTTCCCTCTCAGATTCTGCAGGCGTGCCTCAGTGGACATTCATTAATTCATCTGGGAGCATGGAGTGAAGCCTCGACATCCAGGCACGTGAACCCCAATCCTCCCTCAGTCTCGCTTTGTGAAGCTGCCCAACATTCCAGTCTCCTGACAGGATCTGACCAATGGGACGCTGCTGAGTTACTGGGCCAGACTGCCGTCGCTTTAAGTCATGCACTCGTCGGCCCCAGCAACCAAGCGCATGGGCGAGAAAAGAGGAGGCGCAGGGTAAGAGAAGGAGAATGTGCTAATGGGTTTCTGTGGACACTGTGTAAGAAATATGGTGTCGCCAGGCTGAGCTGCATGTGACCCCTCACAATATTCACCATTCACTGCTTTATAAATATCACAGCGTTTCATCTGATTCAACTGCAACAAGTAATGAGTAATGACTAATGACTTATTCACACTGGGAAGTCCACCATCGATGGTACAACTGTCGTTCCCAGGGAGGATTCAAGCTTCAGCAGCCCAGCTCATCAATTAGCAGACTCGTCGCCATCTCAGCTAACTCACAGTGCAGCTCTCTGCCTCTTAATCAGTAACAGTGTCTGGCCAGAAGCAGCTTTTGGACCTCGGGGCTTGTCCTCTCAACCCTTGGAGTACTTTTGTTTATTTTTTCGTGTTTTTTGTGAAGCAGTTTCCCAGTTTCAATTCATAGTGGCAGGAGTGATGGCCTCAGAGACACTTAACTCACTGTACTGTGGTAAAACACTGCGTTACACCAAGATTCGAAAGGGACGTGGGTACGAGCCTAGGCCCTGCTCTTGCTCGCCCAGCTCGGCCACATTACTGCCATTTTTCACATTCGTCTTCGGAGTCACGACTTCAGTGTCACTGGGAAGTAGACACGGCAGGGTGATGTGGCCCCCGAGTCGAGTCCCTGGAGGCCCCTGACTAAACAGCAAGTGAAAGACCTAACACTTCTCCTCTCATACAGTGAAGCACCTTCTGCTCAGCAGCTCCCCACATTACGAGTGCCGCCACCTTAGTAGCAGGCCTGTTTACAGCAAATAAATACCCTCAGAAGGTCACATCAGAGCTCCGGGGGCACTCACAGAAAAGGACCCATGGCGGCCCGTTTGCACACGCCTCCTCCAGACACACGAGCAAACTGCAAGGACCCCGACAGCAGGAGTCTGCATGTGTGTTTACATTCTCCAACAAAAAGCAAATGCCCGTCCAATCAAACCAAATTCCCCTCTCACAGGTCTGAATAAAAACGTCTGCCCTCACTCGAAACCTCATTTGGACAAAAACTGATAAGATGGGGGGGTTTGTCACTGTCTGAATTCATTTCAGGAAATTGGACCCAATACATAAATCCGGTGAGCGATGTAGACAGGAATGCAGCACCAAACCCTTCCACCAATAGGGAAGTGCCTGAGGATTCTGGGTAATCACACACACAGGCACAGCGTCCCCCAGCTTTCGCAACATATTTCAGTGTGATTATAAATACAGAGATGAGTTTTCCAATTAAATCAAGGTAGGGGGAGGCAGTGGTGAGTGAGGCCTTGACTGTCATTTACCAGCCCGGGCTCAAGAATGTCAAACGCCTAAATGCCCTACGGCACAATCTTAGGGAGCAGGTTCTGATAGAGGCACTCGATGATGCGTGACCTAGTGGGCCACGAGGTGCTGGGTAGCCACAGAGAGAGCGGATGCGGCACCCCTGAAGCAGACAACGTAAAGTGTCACTTCTTGTGAGCAGAGAGGCAGCAGAAAGCTCAGCCAAGCCGCAAAGGGCAAATCTACATTCCGGCCTCACTCGCGCATACCCCCCGCACCCCCTCCCCAGCTCCACACAGTGTCACTCCTCGCTGCCAAAGCCCCCATCCCCCCACGGCTAAGACAGTGCCATCCTTTCACACGGGCCGTGGCCGCTCCGTCAACAGGCCTCCCGTTTCTCCTCTTTCAGCGGGGGGCCAAAGGAGACCGGGTGTAAAACACAACAGGCCAACGCGGGCAGGTGGACCCGAGTTTGTGGGAGACTCCCCATGGATGCGGCTGGTCAAATGCTGTGTTTACATTTTTATCCAAAGTCCAGAACCCTCTAAAAATACACCTTCTGGTTACTCTGGGACTGTTCAAAGAGAGAGAGAGAGAGAGAGAGAGAGAGAGAGAGAGAAAGAGAGGGGGAGAGAGAGAGAGAGGAAACAGAAAACAACCTCTTTGATTTACAGCCCCACGGAAGTGACTGTGGTCAAAGGTCAGCTACGTTCCAGAGCTGGGCAGCTCACGCCCCCTCAGTGTGGTGGCCGCACACACAGGAATTCTCCAGAAACATTTTGGAATTCCTAGAAATGGATGGAACATACAGCTCATCAGGAAAATGAATACATATGCTCTGTCTGTCAATCCTACAGGACTTCCTAATGAGCACTGTGCCCACAGACATGATCCCAGCACACGTCAGTAAATCCCAATTTCATAAGCTCCATTGCACAACCCCACCTTGCTGAGCAGGGCACGCCGGGGGCCAGGTGGATGGGTCCTCGTGTGTCCAGCTAGCCGGCCCCCCAAGCGCTCTTTCCGGGTGCCAAATCAATCCTAGAATCCTCACTGGCACCCAGGAAGGAACAAAGAGCTGTTGTTTGTGGAGGCGGAGCCTAGGTCACATGCAGGACTCTAAACGGGTTTGTCGCCTCCCACTTGCCGTCCAGCGACGGCTGAGAGATTTACAGAGACGCTGTAAGCGCCGGATTTGCAGCATGGTTTTCCTGCGCTAGTAATCCAGCAGTGTGCAATCCCCCCCCCCATTCTGGGACAGTTTTCATACCAGTGTTCATCTGCTGCTTAGTAATATACATGTACAAGGAGAGAGGGAAAGGGGAAGAGAGAGAAAGAGAGAAAGACACAGACAGAGAGAGACAGAGAAAGAATACACACGTGTGAAAGGGAATAATGTTTGGTTGAATATAACTGCTTTGCTTTATAGCTGAATACATACATTTTAAACCCCAGGAATGCCCAAAAACATCCTAAAGGCTGGATGTAAAATGACCTCTCCATGTGACCCTATCAGGCTGTCCACAAGCAACTGACAGAAAATGCTCAAACTGGAAGGGTCCATGGCAGAGCAAGGAAAAGGGAAGACACGCCCTTGTATTTTACAGGCATATGTGACTGTAAAGTGTCAATTCCACTTTCACAATGCCTAATATTTAATTCTGCACCTTGAATAAGAGCAAAGCTGAGGCAATGTGACGCGGGAGGGTATAGAAGCAGAGGTCCGTCTTCACACAGTGAACAAGGTCCGCGGAAAACTGCGCCGGCAGAACCAAGTTAGTTTTTAAAATAAGAATCAATAACCGGCTGTAACATGAGGAAATGTGTGTCAGGCTTCAGAAAGCACGGTGTTCTACAGAAATCACTTCGATATTTATCACTTAAATACAATTACACCGCTCTATCACAGTAAATTTAGATTAAACTGTAGAAGTAATCATTAATTATTACAATTATTACTATTATTATGATGCTGTAATATCAGGATATGTATATCAAACTTCACAGAGGACGCTGTTATACAGAAATCACTTCAGTTCTACTGTCTTAAACACAATAATTACAGCTACATTACAGGACATTTTGATTAAAACAGAGGAACTTATTATCATTACTGTTGTTGTTGTTATCATCATCGCCGTCGTCAGTCTCGGTCCCCTTCGCGCCCGCAGACAGCCGTTAAAAGGCACCGCGGGTCCCAGCGGCGGATCCCCCCGCCCATCCATCCACCCAGCGGCGGCGCAGCTCCTACCTGGACGGCGGCCGCGCGGAGCGTGACGGAGCCACAGGCGGGAAAGCGCCGATGTCCCGCGAGCCCCTTCCTCAGCGCGCTCCCGGTACGGCCACAGCGGGCGCTCTTCGTGGTGGCTCTTCGCCTGTCTGTAGCTGCGCTTCCTCGCCCCTAACTTTCCTTCTCTTTCTTTCTCTTTTCCCCTCCCTTTGGCGCCGTGTCACATCCTCAGCTCGCACCCCACTTGGCTACCGCGGCTCTCCGCCGTGACCAGCCGGGACAGCGCTTCCACTTCGCTCCGCCTGAGACGCGGAATGGTGGGAACGATGGAGGACTTTTCGGGCCGCCCCCTCCCTCACGCCTCGCGCCGTGTCTGCTGCAGTGGCGCCCCCTGGCGGTGGCGGTTACGCGTCCGTTTCTCACGGCGCCCTTTTAATCGTGGCGTTGGTAATGAAGCTCTATCTGAGGCGCTTCCATGTGTCGCATCGCTTTTAAAAATATTTGTACTGCGTGCATGTTTTTTAAATAAGATATTTAAATTCATCTATCTGTGTACGAGGGTCTTCCGAAACCACAGATTTATTGTAGATAGGTTTTACCCCCCAAATTGCAGGGTCTGAAACTGCCATACAAATAGCAGGCGGTCTGTGTATTCTCGCGCATTGGTCTTTATAAGATCTGACACAAAGGCATAAAATCCGATGGGAAGTTTTTTTTTATTTAATTCGAATCAAAAGCAATAAAGGAGCTGCTGAATGGAGACAGTCCCAGCATCTGGGCAGCAGCCTTCTGAAAGAATAAATAATATAATGAGTCCTTGAAGACAAAATGAGAGGATGACTGGGGGGCACGGATTACATTGGGAGAGCGGTGTGAGTACAGAGGACGGCGGTGGTCATTCTGCAGCCTTTCATTTGCTGTAATAAATTATGTAATGTTTTGAAGACCGTCTTTTCTTGGTACTTTTCCAGACAATTGGCGGTTGCCGTCAACAAACTGTACTGCGGTCCGCAGTACTGCACGGTCCTAAAATAGTCACCACGGATGGCGTTCGCAGACTGGCTCTTTTTTTTCAACTTTTTATTTATGAAGTGTCAACACAATACATAAAAGAAGAGAGGGAAATACAGGAATCAGTCTGAGGTCATGAGATACACAATGTGTATAAAAAAAAGATCATTAAACAGTCACAAATTAACATATACTATTTAATGAAGTAATATCTCTCTGTTCAGCATGTAAATGGACCACTTTCCCCACCTTCTCTCCCCTAGCTCCTTTTGAAGCCTTAAAGAATAAGTCATCTGCTCAAGGAGGTGTAGCTGTTTCACAATACCGATAAAGACCCCCAGAGTAGGGATATCTTTTTGAAGCCAATACTTTGTAATTGTCATTTTACACGCTACCAACATAATCTTTAGGAGGTACTCATCATCTTCACCTAGTCCCTCGGGGAGACTCCCCAGGTACAGAGATGTGAACGTGATGTCAACCCTAAAGCCCAACACCTTTGCTATAATTACTGCAACCTCCTTCCAAAAATTTTGAATAAGAGGACACAGCCAGAATACATGGGCATGATCAACCTGTCATGGATCCGGACGGCACGGGAACGGGAACGAGGCATGGTACACAAAGAAGGGGCGGACGACCCACTTGCGGCTCCAGCAAACAAAAAGGGGTTTATTAAACGAAACTGAAAAGACTATAAACACAACTAAACCAAAAAGACCACAAGGGGTCAAAAACAGAAAGGGGATTAATCAAGACTAAATAACAAAAACTGAATGCACGCAGAACACTGACCATATCAAAAACCATCAACCTACAACAACCATAGACATAGACATAGACATAGACATAGACATAGACATAGACATAGACATAGACATAGACATAGACAT